GAAATGATGTCATCCTAAACCTTTGAGGCGTAGCATTTCCCTACACTAATAAAAAAAAAAAAAAAACAGAAAGTACTCCACTTAACACATTTCATATATGCAAACACCTTTGCACTGTCTACTTCATTATCAGCTAAAAGAAAAAGGAAGGCAAATACATCAAATTTCTGATCACCGGTGATGAAGTTTAGAAAAAACATGGTTTTGTCTTCACCTCTCAAATGTTCATATAATAAGGTTGTATTCATCAGATGAGCCAGCTTGATAAAGGTCCCAGCGTCCTGTTTCTGACAACTGGTTCATTGCTTAGGGGAACAGTGAAGAACAGAGTGGTTATAGAGTGATTCTGCCCTGGTTTTGGCAAACAGTAACTTCGGAGTCTTCCAAGTCAGAGTTTATAACTAGACAAGCATGTAGAATAGTTCAATGCACATATCCCACCTTAGTACTGTCAAATGGTTTTTTTGAATGCATTTATACCTTTCTCCTTGATAGTATTCTGTGGCAATGAGTTCCACAATATAATTGGGATGTATATGAAATAGTACTGTCTCTCTTTCAGTAGGGATCTCCTGCCTGATAATTTAAACTTGATGCCCCTTAGCTCCTCTATTATGAAAAAAGCAAAAAACCATTCCCTATTCATCTTCTCTACACCTTTCATGATTTTATAGATTTGTCATATTCCTTCCTCAGTCATCTATTTTCCAAGCTGAAGAATCTTTGTCTAATCTTTCTTTGTCTGAAAAGCATTTCATGCCTGTGATCAGCCTTGTAACCCTCCTCTGTACTTTTTTTAAAAATTCCTCATATCCTTTTTGATATGGTGTCCAGACTCCATGCAGTGTTCAAGATGAGGGCCCACATAATGAGTGGAATGATGATGTTTTTCTGTTTTGTTCTCCACACCTCATAATTCCTAACATCCTATTTGCTTTGAGGGTTTTTGACTGCCATTGAGCACTAACTGATGTTCGCAGAGGACTATTCACAATCACTCCAAGCTCTTTCCTGAGTTGTAATAGCTCATTTAGAGGCCACCATTGTGTTTACAGAGCGAGTTATTTTCCCCATAATTTCACATTTATCACATTGAATCTCATGTCATTTTATCATCCAATCATTCAGCATCATGAAATAATCCCCCAGTGTGTCACAATCAGCTTCAGATTTACATATTCTACATAATTTTAGAAAAAACATCAAAGTTTGTTCACTTCTATTAATTCCTTTTTTCCTTTTATTTACAACTATGTCAGTGCAGGCCTTAATAATGCTGCACTGGTAACAAATTATTTAATCTGTAAAATATGAACACCTTTCTTCCCTTTTAACCAATTATTAACTCATAAGGGGACTCTCTCCTCCTATGCTGTTTAAAAGCATTTGGTAAGCTTGTTGACAGCTTGTTGGAAATTAACATACTCTTCTCCTGACAAGATCTTCTTCATGTGATCTCTGACTCCTTCAATGAATTCTAGTAGTTTTTTTAAAAAGAAACCTATACTGACTTTTCCCCCCAATATATTATTTCCTCCTTATACACAGTAATCACTAAGAATCGCTCCTGAGGCGCTTCAAAGACTACTGCATTTTCTCTTTTTGCATTTCTCTGATTAAAATAGTTGATTTCAGCAGTAAGTTACATACTAGTTGGTTGTTCTGCGGCTTTGACTTCTTATAGAACCCTGGACTTAAAAAGCGTCACATCCTGGAATTTGATTATTGTACAACATATCAATTTGTCCTAAGATCTCCTCTAATGATGCATCAAATTTCAGACACTTCTTCAGAATTATGTTGTCTTTAAAAAAAATTTAATAAGAATCAGTTGTGGAAACTGGACAAATAACATTGGAAATAATCATGCTAATTTTCCTTAATTGCGCTGAGCATTCCTTTTGCATGCAGCTCATCTATCAGCCTCTTTTATTACTAGCCTTTACAACTGTAACAAGCTCCTCAAATTCAGTTTTGGGTGATCTTACTGTGCTTTTATATGTAACTTGCCAGCATTTATACTCAGTTCTATTTTCCACACTCGCACAGGACTTCTCTTGCTACAGGCTGTCTTATTACTTCTATTAGTCTCCTTTACTAGTTTAAACTAGTTTTTTTTTGTGTTGTTACTTGGATGTCTGTCAGTGGTGATTTAAACATAGCCTTTAGACAGCTTTAATTTTTCAGCTTCTACATACATTGTTTCATTTTTCTCATTTTTGTAGGCCTCTTCATAACCTATTTTTGACTGTGGCGAGGGCTTCCTACGCATAATAGTCATTACTAAAGAATGGTGCTCATACCTTGTGCCAAATTTTCCACACTGCTCACAATTAAACAGCTGCATATATTTTGTGAGTTCTTACTTTGCTCCAAAATGCAATTAAATTATGACACTTTGCAGAAGCTAGAAGTAATACATTTGAGAATAGCTTGAATGTACTACTGACAAACTGCATCAGTACATCAGTGCTTACTACATAATTTATAAATAAGAGTAAACACAGATTAATTCAACAGAGGGAGCTAGACAGGGCCATTCTTCTCCCAGGCCAGACACCCAAGTCTCAGAGCCCTGCAGATGAGTCCCCATGTGTGTGACAGAGGTGATGGAGGTGTTGTAATACTTATTCTGAGTTTGTTCGCCTTCATTTTTTTTGAAGCTAATAGATCAGCCTTAGCATTACATTACTTACATGCATACTCTTTTTTCACAAAGGATACTGGAAGAAAGTTCTATAGCCTCAAAACTCAGGCACTTGAAGGATTTATAAATGATAGCTTCCCAGTTTCACAGAGGGAGGTTGACGCGGCTTGGGGAACTCTTTCGACACGCTACCCATCTGGACCAAAACCTCCCCAACAAAGAAAACTAGTTGTGCAAGGAAGTTAAAAGATCATGACCAACGCTGCAGCAGGTGGACTGCCATGATGAACCCTGTCTTCTGTCTGCACAGGTTGATCTGAAGTGGGGAGATGCCTTCTCAAGCAGTCTCAGGTCCTGGGGCATCAGTGCAGCCTACGTGGTTTAGCTGCTAGCACAGCTCCTTCTACCCTGACCGGGAGATGCTGGCAAAGCCAGGCTGGTAAACCAGGAGTAGATCGGGCAGGTTATCAAAAGATTCACTAAACAAAACTTAGGGAATGGATAATGGGAACTGTGAAATGTTACAGAACTGCTAAAGCAAAGGGCCTTTTCCTTCCTTAGCCCAAATGGGCTTTCCTTGACTGAGTGTGAAGGACTGGCTGAGGACCGCATTAATGCAAAAGCTTCTCAAAGACCCTAAGGATCCTTTATGATAGCAATGGGAAATCTTGTCCTGGGTTTGACTGAGTTGTGCGGTTTTCTTGCTAGCAAGGGAGGCGGCTATAGGGGCAGCCCCCTATGAGAAGCTTCTCGAAGCTCCCCCAGCTCCAAGTCAGCTCCACCTCTGCACCAAAACTGAGCCCATCAGCTGCGCCTCTGCGATAACGTATTTAAGAAGGGACGTGGTGAGGAGCAGTGGGACTGGTGAGGAGGAGTTGCGGCAGCTGTGTGAACACCAAGGTCAGTGGGGGAAGGGAGGAAGAAAGGAGGGGGGAGGTGTGCCGGAGCAGAGACCCCCCTGTATCCTGTGGGGAGACAGCAGGGCGGTGCCCCCCCGCCACTCATGGAGATCTGCGGTGGAGCAGACATTGATTTATGGCCTGTGGCTTCCACCTGATTGATCAAGGTGCTGTGCCTGAAGAAGGCCGGGGTCTTGTGGGAAAAGGCAGCCCTGCTGCTGTAATTCAGCGCTGGGAGGATTGCAGCATGCGGGGGAGTCCCACGCCGGAGCAGCTCGGGAAGGGCTGCAGCCGTGGGAGGGAATCCAGTCGGAGAAAGTTGGTGAACAACAGAGCAGTGTGGGGAACGCTGCGGCCCATGGGAGGGACTCAGGTCAGAGAAAGTTTGTGGAGGACTGTCTCCTGTGAGAGGGGGACCATGATGGAGCAGGGGGAAGAAGTTCCAGAAACTCCCCCCCACCACAGATGGAAGAAGCGGCAGCACTGACTGCACCCCCCATTCCCTGCCCCTGCGCCACTGGGGGAGGAGGTAGAGATATTGGGAGCAGAGCTGAGCCCAGGAAGAAGGGAGGGGTGGGGGGAAGGTGTTCTCAAGGTGTGGCAATGCTTCTCACTGTGCTACTCTGTTATGTGTTGTTAGTGTCTGTAATAAATGTATGTTCTTTTTTTTTCTTCCCCTAATGAGGCTGCCTTTTGCTCGTAATCATAAAGGGGGATTTGCCCCTCCCTGTCCTATCTCAAATCCCAAGACTGGCTCATTTGTCCCTTCTCATCACTGGCAGAGAAGGGAGGAGTGAGTGGCTGTGTGGTGCTCAGCTGCCCTCTGAGCTCAAACCACAACAAATCTACACAGTGCTGTCTCACTATGCTCTCCAGTATGGTATATAAAAATACCTGAACATCATTATGGTATCGCATGTATTTACAAACACTCTCATATGTGTTATTTGGGCCATATTTCACCACTTCCAAGGGTTGATCAAGTATTTCCACTAAAAAGCAGCAGCACTTTATATTACATACATCTTACAAGTTACTGAAAAAGTGTGTTTTAAAAAAACAGATTTGGAATAGTTTACTGAAACTCAATTTGAGTTTATTCCTCTGCCTCTAAAGGCACGTTTGTTCTGTACATCCAGCTGTAGAGGTCTCAGAACATTCACAAATATTTTTCAAAAAGCTATGGTTCCTCTATCAAAGCTACCACATTTTGATAATTCTGGTATCTGGTAAGGCAAGGAAGGCTCATCTGGAGAAATCAAACACGTGAGAAGTGAGGTGGAACCATGTCTCCAGATGCACACACATGCTGCATGCAAAGGCAGTGTCCTGAGACAATGACCTGCACAGAGCCTTGGCACACCTCATCTTTATCTGAATACTGGATTGCAGGCTATGCTTTTTATAGATCCAAACAAACAACATATTCAGGAAAAAAATAAATGTATACTTACTGGGAGAGTTACTTTCTTCAAGTGGCATTCCTTTTCCAGTAATTCATAAACATATTTAGTAATGATCTAGAAAAAAAGAAAAAAGAAATGCAAATAGATATTGAATCACTTACAGTAATGACATATCCAGGGAGACAACTTAAAGGCTAGTTGGTTAAACTTCTAAGGACTTGTATATGTTTTGACACTTATCTGAATCCTTTACTACACAATTAATTATAGAACTTGGAGCTTTACACAAAAAGGTCCTCTTTCCCATCCGAAAAGGCTGCTTGCCAGTACAAAGAAATTGTAACTGTACCTGTGAACCCATCACGTGCTGCTTGTGAATAATTATGTGCCTCAAAACTAAGGATTATAACCAATTAATATATACTCAGGGGTACAAGAAAGGCTCTCCTTTGCAAAGAAATACTTTAAAAGCATTTTTTTCCATAAGCAGGACTCCTGAAACCCTCTCCTCTGCAGGTTCACTTCATGAGCTACATGGAGAACAGATCTTTAGTCACCCTCAGCACAAGTTGCCTTGCCATTTCTATTCACTGAACAGGGGAGGGATGGGTCAAAGGTTTCTAAATAGAAGAAAAACCCTGACTGATTCCCCACTATGGGTGAGTTTAAGTCTCTTGGCTCCATGTAGAAATAAAATTGAAATTTTAGACCTGAAACAAAGAGAATTATTTCAAAGAGCAACCAAAAAAAAAAAATCAACTTAGTCACAACGAAAAGACTTGCTGTCTCAAATATAACAAAGTTGTTCACACACTTCAAAGGCTTGCCTAATATTTAGGGAAATTTTTTTTTATCCTTATATATTCTAAGAAAAATGGAGATGCAGATGTAAGAACTTTCTAACTATTATTAATTTGGGAATTAAACTCAGGAACAAACTAAAGCACTTTGTCCATATGGGGCTGTAAAAACAGTTTGGAAGTAACTGCCTGGATTTCACTGGCTAAGGGAGTTACAAAAAAAAAAAAGAGGGGCAAATTAAAGAGGAAAAAAAGTGCTCATTAAGAGCCTCAGATGGTGCTTGCCTTCCCTTTAAAGCTTGGGGAACTATGTTTAAATTCCAGACAGGACAAGATCTAAGTCCCAAAATATTAATCCAAGAATATCTGGGTACAAACCCAGCTGGTATTCTTTAGTCCAACCCCTCAAGGCCACAATTACAGCCATCTGAACCCACAGCATATTAAGCCACAACAGAAACGTCGCTGTAACAAAGCTCTCGAGTGATGGCATCTTAACAACACACTATGAACTGAGCAAGTAGGAGCCAGGGTATCATAAACTTCAATTTTAATTTTCCAAATGCGCAATTACCAAATAAAGTTTCAATGAAGTCCAAAAGTTTTCATTATGTACATGTGAGCAAACACAATATGCAAACGTTTGGAACACATTTGAACAAATTAGAGGTACTGATGAAAGCTAATTAAAAATGTTGGCGCGTGCCCCTCCCTTCCTTTCACAAAAACCCGAAATCTTTATTAGGATTATGTGAATTCTCTGCTACCCTGCTCAAATACGTTTATTGATAGAATTATGTTCAAAAAACTTTATGGTTTTAAAGAAAATCAGTCTTACTGAACATTACTATCTACCGGGAAACTCCATTTGGAGAAGGAATTTAGCTGTGAGCGATGAGTTGATTTAAGACATGTTTATCCCCAAAGCAGTATGTTAGGAACATGCATACAGTGTAATTTTACCTTCAGGGCCAAACTTTTTATGGTTCACCAAAATCAACTTCAGTGTAATGCCAACAAGTAAAGCAGTTAAGTTCCTGCAGCCTCAGATGCTGATGTTGTACAGACATTAAAATGAGTATAATGATAATATGGCCTCAAACATAGAAATTTTATTTTTCACTCTAAATCCAGGCATCCACTAACAGTCAAAAACACTAAAAGAACACTTGGAAGAGAAAAAAATTGCTACGAAGAAAATCTGTATCAGACACCACTTGCAAAAATCTACCCTTTTTGCAGCTATGTGTTTGTATCTATTTCTTCTATTCTCCCTCATCTATTTAGACAGCAATGTCTTCAGGGCTGAAGTAAACCTTTACTCATTTTTTTCCACAGCCTGGCTCAATAGGGCTCTGATCCTAACTGGCTTTTATGCACTACTCAATTATAATAAATAGTGATATCAGCCTTAAAAATGGGACCGTTCAGTGAGTAGAGGACTCTGGTATATCGAAGATTTAACCTAATGAATGCTTTTAATAAGAGTAAACATGCAGACAGATATAGTAGGCTGGAGGCTCGGATGCAAAGTGTGAGATTACGATCCTCAGGCAGCTCAGCACCTGGATGGTCTCCACGGCCCAGACAGGCTTGAGGAAAAACTGCTGTAATCTGCCCCAGTATATGCAAGATCATAAGAGGGTTTTTTTGGCAGCAGATCAACAACTTCAGGGATATCCTAGCAGTGGCTGGTACGCTGTCAGCTTTAAAGGATGGAAGGTGATACACAAGATTTCTTGAAGTACCATCAGAGTCCCGAATTACCCAGATTTGAAAACATCATTGTAACGGCCAGGCTTCCTGCACCTTGCATGGATGTGCCTGGACAATCTAGAAAAATCCTGTGCTATCTAAGAATATGGCTGCAAGTACTGAAAATGCTACACATCCAACATTACTTTTGGTATTTTATGCTTTTAATTACTTCTTTTGATTTTATGGTTGATCTGTAATTTTGAAAAATTAACTCTTAAAATATCTTTTCTATAGGCATTGAAAGGAGAAGGGAAGTTAGACTTTCTATTACAAATCTATACAATTTAAATAGCCACAAATTATTTAAGTAGCAGTATTAGCTTGTGTATGCTGGCATTTTACCTTTAAGATCTGAAAAATGTTGTAGGATGTTGAAAAGTGTCTTGTGACTTTCTGAATGAGAATGTGAGCATGATTACACTCTACAAACTCTCCTGGACTAATCAATGGTCATATGGTTGCTCACGAGAGCAGGTATTTAGTGACAGAGACTGTTCAATCCAGTCCAGTGTTAACAGCTCATCTGGAACTATCAAGCAACAAATTGTGCAGCACAAGCCACTCTCACGGCAAACTGTAACACTTGCTAGACTGTCCTACTCATGTAATTCATACTAACCTGGGATATTTATGCTTTTTCTAAGGCTCTTGCAACTCATAAGGTGTGCCAACACTGTAAGCAGTACACTGCATTGTAATTCAAGGTAATAAGGTTTCTAGTGAGCAGGCAGCACCATGTCTGAGATGGGAGAGGAAAAAGAACCAAGAGTGAGGCTTGCCCAAAGTGTGTGAAATTAATTGTCTGGTGAATGGAGGCAAAAATAGTATTTCTGCACTTCTTTTATGAGACACTGGAAACTTCAACCCTATTTTACAGTATCTCTGCTCTTCATTCACTTCCAAGTGCAGGCTATCAGGAAAACACATCCCAAATAGTGTAAGTATCTGAGCAAAGCACTATCAAGGTGCTCTTTTTGCCTGCTCTGAGAACTGGGGGGAAAAAACCCAAACATAACACCAAAGAAATTCCATGCCTCTCATCACCTATTCCAATAGCAAGGAAGAAATCCTTTCCAACAACAAAAACGTACTTTGCCTTACAATTCCACCCCGAAAAAGGTTGTATTAGAACTATGGGACAGGAGAAACTTTCTTCCCAGCACAAAAGGCTTATAATTTAATTTGCTTTCAGCAAGCTGAGGAGGAATAGTCCTGCTTTCCGTAAGCCTGAGGATCTTCTGCCCTAAATGAAGTCACAGCTTTTCTTACTTTCATTGGACTAGAAGAATTCCCAAAGTGCAGGAAGGATGATGAGAACAGGGACCACAGCCGAGTGGAGCACATCCTGAACTGTAAAAGCAGTAGATTATCCTGGCCATATTAAAACTGCGAGTACCTAAATCTCTGCAACCATTTCTTTGTTACATTTTTTTTCCTTCATTTTTCCTTCATCTACTGTGGACAAGGCTAAGACCAGTAATGGTTCAGGACAGGAACCAAATTTCAGGACTCACAACTGCCCTTCCAAGGAGCATAAAACAGCTAGTCTTCTGACTTATGTTGGATATAACCGTGTGAATACCTCCAGGAGTACATTTTCAAAGTGCCAGTCACCCCAGATATGACATCTGCAAAATCCAATAGTCTTATGGATAATCTGGGGATAGACCTATGTCGTAACAGTGATGCTTCATACAGATCCAGAATATAACCTATTTTAATTACAAAGAAATTAAATCGATGACTTGAATGGACAGCAGAAAGGACAGAGACGGATAAGACCACAGAAAGAAAAGAGAAATGTATTATCTTATGACAGAGCTGAGATTTTACCCTTGCAGTGCTAAATATCCTGTACAATGGCGGTATAATGCTGCATGCAGTCTGCAGAGGAAAACTGAAACTTCAGGTAGAAACACAGTTCTGGTACACATAATTGTAGTACACATTAACTGGTAAGGTCCTGGCTACATCTGGCTTGTGTTCTTTCTAAGATTATAATGTTCATATAGAGGATTTTCTTCAGGACTGTTTTCGATTACCAAAAAGCACTGAAAAATTCTGTTAGTAGCATAATTTGTAAAATCTTTGCAATACAGCATCCTAAGCTACCTGATTAAAAGAGGATTTAAACAGCCAAAGTCTGGAAAAGAGGACAACCAAAAGCATGCCCACAAAACAAGATGACAACTCCAAAATAACTTAGCTTAAAATAACATACCCCCATTTTAAGTCTGGAAGAAACTGAAAGAAGCCATATAACACATATCCAAAAGGTCAAGACCCAGCCTGGCACACGTGAGGAAGAGCAGAACTGCAGCTGACCCACGGGTGAACTTTTCCATAACAGAGATATCCAGGTATACAGACAACAGATCACAACTCAGCAGCTTGTTTCCTGACACCTACACCCTAATCCAGAGGAGCTGCTTCAGTACATACCACATCAAAAACCATGCTGGGAGGCAGTGAAGTGCACTGAGCCTTGCTCTTGCTCATTGAGCCCCCCCCCCCCCCCCCGGCCCTGTGCTTTACACCCAAGTCCTCTGAATTCTT